GAGGAAGGGAGCCCAGGAAATGAAATTCGGGGCGTGATGTCCACTGGGATTGCCTTTTGTGGGGTTTGGGGGTTTGTTTGGTTTTAAGGTTTTTTGTTTTTTGTTCTGAGACAGAGTCTCGCTCTGTCGCCCAGGCTGGAGTGCAGTGGCGCAATCTCGGCTCCCTGCAACCTCCACCTCCTGCATTCAAGCAATTCACCTGCCTCAACCTCCCAAGTAGCTGGGATTACAGGCACCCACCACCATGCCCGCCTAATTTTTATATTTTTAGTAGAGACAGGGTTTCACCAAGTTGGCCAGGCTGGTCTGAAACTGCTGAACTCAGGTGATCTGCCCGCCTCAGCCTCCCGAAGTGCTGGGATTACAGGTGTGAGCCACCGCACCTTTTCAAAACCATGGTTTTGGTTTTTTGAGCCACGGCATTATATTTCAGCACCCAAATTTGTCATCAAACAACTATATCTGCAGCTAGGAGGCTCATCTGTCAAATGTCCGGCACAGGAGGCACAGGTCTGGTGCCTGAGCAGGTGTCAGCCACAGCTTCTGCTGCTCCAGGCCACAGGCCACAGGCCACAGGGAACCCAGGGAGAGCCGGGGCAGCAGCACAAACAGCCCCCGCAAAGTGCCTGAGGGTCTGTCCTAGTGCAGAGGACAGGAGCCACGACTAACAGCCTAGCACTCAATGGAAGCCCGCAGGGAGCCGACATAGCAGGGGTCCAGGCTGAAGGCTGGAGGGGTTAGGGCGGGCCCTGTGGGGCGCCTCACTTTCGTAGTACTCCAGGCACTTGGCGGGAGCGCTGCTGCTCCACGTGTAGTCGGACGGCTTCTTCCCACGGTTGTCCCGGGCGTAGATGTTGCCGCCAAACTCGATAAGCATCTCGATGAGGTCAACATTCTTGACCTTGGCCGCGTGGTGAAGAGCCGTCTCATGAAGCTTTGCCGCATTCACGTTGGCCCCTGGAGGTCAAGAGTGCAGAAGAGATTTCACCAAGAAGAGAAGCTGAAGTCAGGGGGACAATCACATCCGTTTCTTCACACAGCACGGCGGCAGAAGCAACCCCCACCCAGAAGACAAAATCAGGACAGACGCTACCGTAGCTTTCAAAACTGTTTTTCACATCCAAAAGCAGGAATTACTCCTTGTCCCCCCTCATGAGAAGAGAGATAAAGGTAGGCAGCAATCATAAAGAAATAACTGGAAATAGAACTGAAAAGAAGAAAAACAAAATGAAAAACGTCCTGAGTTAAACAAGCGTTCTAATGCCCTGTCAATCTGCCTTCAGGGGTCCTGAGATTTCTGGAAGCTCAAACCAGAGCTACTCAAGCACTCCCATCTGGCCTGAGCACAGACACACACTACTTCTTCCTCTTGTGGGCGCAGGACGGAGGCTCCAGAAATACTGGTTGAATGAAAGAATGAATGTTCCTTAACAATGCATATTCTTTTACAAAAGGAAAACAGATAATGTACCCAAAACAGTAGGCAATTCAGAGAAGAGATTTAGCTCTGCACTCCTCAACTTTCTCACGATAAGAGCAGACATTCATCAAGCTGATTAAAAGTAAAAAAAAAAAAAAAATTTTTTTTTTTTAAAGAGTAGACATTCAGAAAGATGCAAAGAATTAGTAGCTAAATACGGCTGGTTTTGTTTTTTGTTTTTTGTTTTTTTGAGACAGAGTCTCACTCTGTCGCCCAGGCTGGAGTGCAGTGACCCAATCTCGGTTCACTGCAACCTCCAGGGTTCAAGCGATTCTCCTGCCTCAACCTCCCAAGTTGCTGGGATTACAGGTACACCACCATGCCCAGCTAATTTTTCTATTTTTTGTAGAGACGGGGTTTCGCCCTGTTGGCCAGGTTGCTCTGGAACTCCTGGCTACAGGCATGAGCCACCACACCTGGTCAAATATGGCATTTTTCAATGCACTAAAAAAAGATTTTGATAAAAATCTGATTTTTGTAACACATCATTCTTAGGGCACAGCCATCACTAATCCGATACGATGGAATCCCCCAGGGTTTCAGAATTCTTTTGAAAGAAAATGCCATTTTCTTTGAAGTCTGTTTCTCAAGTAACAAAGGAGGTTATAAGAGAAAACGAACGAGAGAGAAGTATTTTAAAGAAGTCAAGCAAATCGCCCAGCATCAGTAAAATAATCCGCCAAATGACAGATTCAAACCACAACTGTAAAATATTATCAAAAGTGGGATTTTAAAACAATCAGACCACTAGCACACCATCACTTACCGACAATTTCAGAGGGTCAAAAGAGGAGTTGAGAGGTGGAATGCTATTCCATTTTCTAGTTCCTCTGCTCAAAAACTATCTGAAAAATCCTGCTTTCTGCTTTAAAATATTTGAATCCCCTAAAAGCACGTAAGAACCATGCTCATAACAGCATACATGGAGTGATCCAGCCCTCCAAAGTGATGACATAAGTCAAGAAAGTTCTTTCCGCTTCCCGCAGCCAAAACTCAGAAGTTAGGACAGGAAAAGGATCTCTCAACCAGGAAAAATGCTAAATTACCTAGGTCCTGAATTTGGCAGAAATGTACTGCAAAAAAAAAAAATAATAATAATAATATTTAAAAGCAATAGATTGAAGAAATATTTTCCCCACGATTCAACCTCTCTTTCACACAAGGGGTTTTCCTCCAGTATAATGTTGCAATCATAATACAAAGTACATTTTAACACTAAACATACACTTGTAATGAAGAACAAATTGTACCATCCACAGAATCTACAGTTCAAGTAGCTTTCTCTCATGTCATTAATTCTGGCAATATTCTTGCCAATTGGGAGAGAAAGAGATGGTCTCTATTTTAACAAAAGAAAAAAAAAAAAAGAAACAGAGAGAGAGGCCCAAGGGAGGCACAGCTACTCTCTCACGATCAGGGAGAAAACCATGGCTGGAAAGAGCTCTAAAAATCATGCGTCCTGCTGTGCTCCACAGCCTTGGCCACGGGCTCTTGCAGAGAGGCGGCCTTCCCAATGTACATCTTTTCAAAATGCGTGTTTGGCATCATTTGATTGGGTGGAAGGGAAGGAAGGTGAATAAGGAAGGAAATGAAATTGTGAATAAGGGATTGAAAGGAAACACCAGGCCAGGGGTGCAGGCAGCAACTTGGATGGATCCTGAAAGCATAGCACTGAGTGAGCAAAGAAGAGAGCGAGAGATGAAACCCGAACAACTATGTCCATTAAAAATAGGTGCCTTGGCCAGGCGCAGGGCTCACGCCTGTAATCTTAACACTTTGGGAAGCTGAGGCGGGCGGATCTCTTGGGCCCAGGAAATTGAGACCAGCCTGGGCAATATAGTGAGACCCCAGTTCTACAAAAAAATTAAAAAATTATCCGGGCGTGATGGCACACACCTGTGGTCCCACCTACTCTGGAGGCTGAGGTAGGAGGATCGCTGGAGCCCAGGAGGTTGAGGCTGCAGCGAGCCGTGATTGTACCACTGCACTCCAGCCTGGATGACAGAGTGAGGCCCATAGTGAGAGAGAGAACACATACAGGTACTCGTTAGAAAGAAGAAAACAGGACCAGGCACGGTGGCTCATGCCTGTAATCTCCACACTTCGGCAGCCTGAGGCGGGCAGATCACCTGAGGTCAGGAGTTCAAGACCAGCCCAGCCAATATGGTGAAACCTCATCTCTACTAAAAATCCAAAAATTAGCTGGGCGTGGTGGTGCACATCTATAATCCCAGCTACTTAGGAGGCTGAGGCATGAGAATCGCTTGAACCCGGCAGTCGGAGGCTGCAGTGAGCGGAGATCACACCACTGCACTCCGGCCTGGGTGACAGAACGAGACTCCGTCTCAAAAAAAAAAAAAAAGAAAGAAAGAAGGGAACAGATACAGAGGAAAGAAGGAAGAGAGAGGGTGGGAAAGGGAAAGAAAGTAATTGTGTGTGAAGCAAGGATGGTAACATTACTTGAACTGAGAGACAAGAGAAAGACTGAGACAGAGGCAGAGACAGAGACAGAGAGAGGCAAAGACAAAAACAGGGAGCCAGGAAACAACCAAGGAACTAAAAGCTCTGAACTTCATGCTTCAGAGAAAAGGGGTCAGCACAGGCTCATTACCAAAATCCTGCTTTCAACGCCAAATAGGATTAAAGTGGATTCAGAGAACCCATGGCCAGCGATGTGAAGGGACCTTCTAAGACCTTAGCACACCAGGACTGGCACAATCCTGGAACATAAACACAAATAGTTCAATAGGTGCTTGCTGCAACAAGAGAAATAAAAAGAAATAATAATGGCAATTAAATTTTAAAAATTTATAATTGAAAATTTAAAAAAAAAAATTAAACAACAATTTAAAAAAAAATTTTTTTAATTGTGCCAGGACCAGTGCTAAGAACAAAGGTGGAGGCAGGACCGTCCTCAGGGAGCGGCTTCTGAACGCTCCTGGTAGAGTTCACTATTCACTGCCAGCCATCAGATTAAAAATTACTTCACCATCATAACCGGACTTTCACCCTCCCCAGCCCTCCTCCTTTGCAAATACAATCTGGTTCCTGGACTCGCCTCACCGCCTACAAAGAACAAGCACAACGGTCTCCACGTCCCCCCTGGGGTGCAACGTGGCTGCCTCACAGTTCAGCTCTCAAACCGCACACGAAAGCACCTGCAATCATGTGGGCCCCGACTGGTTCAATCCCTCTCCCCTCTCCACAGTAACTGGTTCAAATGACCCAGGTTTGAGCCAATCAGAATTTGGCAAAGTTTGGGCAAAGGGACTGGGAAGGGGTGCGGGAAAAGGGACTTTCCACTCTTCTGTTTTTCTGGAGACACAGTCCCTGGCTTTCCTTCGGTTTCCCGAAGGATCTGTGACCCGACCCCAAAAGTTCAGAATCATTACTTTTAAAAAATCCGTTTGTGAGGACGTAGCGAGTGCTGTTGTTTCTCTCGTCTCTGTATGTTTGGAAATTTCCACAATGACAAAATGGTTTCTAAGAAGATGATGATCCATCTGCTCTCACGAGGGGTACTAGAGGAGACCACCAGAGAGTAGGATGTGAATCAGGAATCCCACATGGAGCTGATGGCTGGACACCACCCACAGCATCGAGCCAACACCGACAGTCACAGCGGGGAGGCTTCCCCACTCCCCAGGGGGCATGCAAACTCCCGGGGAGAGCTGTGGGAACCCCGCTTTAGGGCGACAGTGGGCATCACAGCTGCCCCTTCCTTTCCAGCCGCCACCCCCGACTGTGCTGCCACCTGGTAATGTGGTGGAGGTGGGAGCAGACCTGACTTCAGCTCCAGCATGGGCCCCGCCTGGTCCAATCCCTCTCCCCTGACCACAGTAATTGGTTCTAATGACCCAGGCTTCAGCCCATCAGAATTTGGCAAAGTTTGGGCAAAGGGACTGGGGAGGCGTGTATGAAAAGGGATTTTCCACTCCTCTGAAAGAGTCTCCAGAAGGTTTAAAATGGGAAACATCTGGCGTGTAGGCCTGAAGCCACTGCAGCCCCGTGATCTTGCTCAGGGAAGCCGGAGGCTTAGGATAAAGTCAACAATGAGGAAAGCAGGATCGCAACATTCAAAGAAACTGGGTGACACCACGGAACCTCCGGTCCAGCCGCCCCTAAACCTGCTCTGCGTCTCAGCCCTGAAGTCACCTGAACTAGAAATGCCCGCCATTGTTTACCAGGTAGAAGTGGCTTCCTGTTACTCGCAAAGGCATCCAAGTGACATGAAGTCCTAACTGATACAGAAAGGATGTTTGCTTTAAACACTAAGTTGATCCCTTTCCCTACAACCACACCAAATGGAACTGAAGTAAAAATGGAACTCATGTGTACTGAGCTCACAACGGCTTGATACGAATGCACTGCCCTGTGTTCATAGAAACAGATCCAGCTGCCAGAGGACAGCTCGGCTGGAAACACTTACGCTTGCTTCCAATGGAGATATTTTTAATACAGTGTATAAAAAATTAAAAGTACCTCCAACAACTGTTCCTATACAAAATGAATCTTTTCCACTAAGAAGACTTAAAAGTGGCACATGAAAGTGAATAAGATTCTCCAACAGAAAACTACATATAACTAAGCTCAAATGGCTGTCATCGGGGGGGATTCATGATCTTCCTGTTCCTGAACAGGTTTGTTCTTGTTGTTAAGAGATGGGGTCTTGCTATGTCTCCCAGGCTGGCTCAAACTCCTAGGCTCAAGCAATCCTCCCGCCTCAGCCTCCCAAAGTGCTGAGACTACAGCTGTGAGACACAGTGCCCAGCCATCCTGAAGAGTTTTGTTTTTATCCTACACCACACCCAGAATTTGGATGAGATGATGAAACTAAAATTTTCCCTCAACAACATTAAGTTGGGTTAATGATAAAAACCCTGTGCCAACAGTCACTTTGGCTAAAACTTTTGGTATAGACAGGCCCTGAGCCTAATCCTCCATTGGTTGGATCTTTTTGGTTTTGATTTTTTCCCCCCCTTGGGAATCTCGATCCTGAGTCTTTTCGAACACCTGACAACAGCCTGGATTCCAAATGCTCCATATTCTCCTAAATGTCGCTGACTCTACTTCCCATTACATCCCCTTCTCTCTTGGATTCAGGCAGCAACCTCACCAGGCAGCTGTGGGGACAGTGGCCTGTGATCTCTAGAAATAATCATTGGCATTTGTTGAGTACCTACTAGGACACACCAGGCACCGGGGAAATATCCCCAGTTCTCCCAGCAACCTGCAGCATAGATTCTTCCAGTGTTACAGATACATAAACTGAGGCCGAGGTCTCAGCTGGCAAGTAGGAGAGCCAGCCTCCAACCCTGGTCCCTCTGACTCCTCTACCCAGCTCTCTGCTAGGCACAGTAAATACCTGTTCAGGTAAATAGCCTTGCAAGTAAACACCTGCTTAGGTGAACAGCCTTGCAAGTATATACCCATTCAGGCAAGCTTCTCATATAAATCCGTAAATACCCACTCTGCAGGTAACACCCATACAGGTAAACGCCCATGCAGATAAACACCCACGCAGGTAAACACCCACTCAGGTAAACACCCACACAGGTAAACACCCACTCACCTGCATTGAGCAGCACTTTGACACAGTCCAGATGCTCCCGGGCACAGGCAACGTGCAGAGGGGTCCCAAAATGGCAATCGTGCGCTTCCAGATTGGCCCCGACATCAATAAGAAGCCTCACACATTCGGAACTCCCTTAAGATAAATGGAAAAGGGGGGACAATGTCCTTGAATACGGACACCGGAGACAACAAGCACGCAGACGCGGCAGCTGCAGCAGCCTCCATCCCTGGTGCAGGGCAGGGAAGCCAGGCAGGCCTGCATCCCAGCCTAGGGAGGAGTTCATGCCCCGCATGGCCCTCAGGAAGCCAGGACACGGCTCTGCGTCCCCCTGAGGAGGGGAGGGCTCACAGCAGTGGGAGAAACGGGCCTGGCCGGCCTCTTGCTGTGAGAACAGGAGACATGGGGCACCACCTAGAATGGGCCAGGGAAAACTCTCCCGCTGCCCTCCTGTCCCGTGTCTACCTGCAGCTGTCGGCACTGAGCCCAGTCTCCCAGGAAACCCCCCAGACTTTCTTAGGCAGGTCATCCTCCTGTGCCCCACGGCAGCCGCCTCTCCTGCCTCTTTTTTTTTTTTTTTAGACAGTCTCATTCTGTTGCCCAGGATGGAATGCAGTGGTGCAATCTCAGCTCACTACAACCTCCACCTCCCGGATTCAAGCAATTCTCCCACCTCGGCCTCCCAGATAGCTGGAATTACAGGCGTGCACCACCACGCCTGGCTAATTTTTTTGTATTTTTAGTAGAGACGGGGTTTCACCATGTTGGCCCGGCTGGTCTCAAACTCCTGACCTCAGGTGATCCACCCACCTCAGCCTCCCAAAGTGCTAGGATTACCAAGGGCATGAGCCACAGCACCTGGCCTCTCCTGCCTCTTAAGCAGCTCCTCTTCCTGGGTCTGCAATGTGGATTTGGAGCGCGGTTCCAGGCCCCCCACCCTCCCACCCCTGCACATTCCGTCTAGGCTCCATCCTTTCCTGTCACTCAATTACCTCTTCACTGTTGGCAGCTCCCTGATTTTCCCCACCAGCCTCACACGCAGCCCCAGCCCCGGAGCCGTGTGCTGGCCACTAGCTGGTGTCTCCCACTCCAGAGCCCTCTCCCTTTCCTGGGGTCCCTGCTCCTGACTCAAACCTGACCCATTTCTGACCTCTTGAGCCTCCCCTTCATACCAAATCCTACGGATTCCTCCCCAAACCTTCTAAATGAACCCATCTCACTCCACCAGCCTACTCTGAGCACTGGCCACCTTCATCCCAGCGATGGTCCCTAACTCATTCCTCTGCTTCCAGGAGACCCCGACCACCACTGCCACCTCCGTCTGTCTGCACATGGAGGGCCACTAAATGAACCTTCCCCAACTTCTGTTTTCCTGGCCCTCAACATCTGCTCAGAAACCTTCAAGAGCTCCCCGGAGCTGTCCCCATGGCCTGTAGACATGGAAAGACCTGAGAGCAGGAATCAGGGGTGAGCCACAGGCAGCCATGGCTCTGCCAGCACCGTGGAAGGGCACATACCCCATACCCTGCACCCCAGACGTGCATCCAAAGACAAAGGCCATGCTGGCTGGTCAAGATATAAGCCACAGTTTGCAGCCTCTGCTCAAAAGAGTAGAATCCAAACTCCTTTGTCATTTAAACATCTTCCCACCAGCTGGTCTCACCCTAAATTCCAGTCCTCTCTGCTCCACTGGGAGCTTCTAATGCAGTAAGATAGGACAAGGAGTGTCCCCCATGCTCGGGGTGCCCTTTTATCTTCCCAGCATCTGCAATCCACCTGTTCTCAGAGGGCAGCTGAAGGCCCACCTGCTCACTGAGCCTGCAGGACCAGCACTGTGTTTTGAGAGCACCGCACACAGCCTCCTGGCCCAGGCTGTTGGGCCACGTTTCTCTGTCCTCTCCCATCTCAATCAGGGACCTGCAGAGCACACTAGAGCAAAGCCCAAGTGAGCCTCTGCAGAGTGCCCCAGGCCCTGGTGCTAATGTGGAGGGGCCCGAGGAGCCCTGGCTTGGACACAGAATCCTACCATAGAGTCACCCACCCCAGCCCTGGAGGAAGACCTCAAGGAGGGAAAGCTTAGAATCTCGGCAGCTGAGCCACCAAGAGCCAGAAACATTCTCAGAACTCTCCTTCACCAGCCAAGGGCTCCCAATTTGTCTACTCTGCTTCCTTCCCAAAGTCCTTTAATCCCCGAAAGGAGGAAACTTCCAGGGCCCAGCTGGGCCAGCCCAGTTGTCTGCCAACTCACCACTCATGCAGGCCTCGTGCAGGGGGGATGCTGTGTACAAAGGAGGGTTGACTTTGGCCCCATAGGACAGCAGGAGCTTCACACACTCGATGCTGCCCGAGGCGCAGGCATCGCAGAGCGGGGTGCTGCCGTCGATGTTGCGGGCATCCACCTCATGGAAGGAAGAAACAAGTATGAAAGGGCAGAGAAACGCCACGCAACCCGCTTTCCCATCCTGCTGCAGGTTCATCTTTGCTAAGATGCTTCTTAGAAGCACCAGTGTGCTTTGGTATTACGTGCTAGGCGAGAACACCGAAAGAGACAGCACGTGGCTGGGGAGCACCCATGGCCTCCTGAGTACAAAGGTCATCTCGTTCAGGATTCTTTCCTCTCGGGGCAGGATAAGCTCAGCTGCCCCCTCACCATCCCTACCCCAAACACCTACTAAGCACAGAGCAGGACAGGGGAACCCCAGGCTGCAAGCTGGGAGAGGCAGGCTTTAAACATGAGTTTCAAAAACTCTAACTTCAGCTGGGCACAGTGGCTCACACCTGTAACCCCGGCACTTTGGAAGGCGAGGAGGGTCACTTGAGCTCAGGAGTTCGAGACCAGCCTGGGCAACATGGCAAAACCCTGTCTCTACAAAAAATACAAAAATTAGCTGGGTGTGGTGGCGTGCACCTATAGTCCCAGCTACCCGGGAGGCTGAGGTGGAAGGATCACTTGAGTCGAGGAGGACGAGGCTGCAGTGAGCTATGATCACATCACTGCATTCCAGCACGTCACTGCATTCCAGCCTAGGCGACAGAGTAAGACCTTGTCTCAGAAAACAACAAAAACCTCTACCTCAATGGAAGGAATGCC